TATATATATATATATATATATATATATATATACACACACACACACAAACGAACAGATATATACGTACACATACATTTCGAATTGTCCTGTTTCTAATTATAAACTTTCCTTCGATATCTCCATCGGATTGCTTAACGCGTTGCAATCGCAATATTTTCGTGCTTGTATTCCTTCAGGACGCGACAGGTGGAGGGGCGGGGGGCGGGGGCGTAATAGTCACATGGCCAGATGCAGTGAAGCAATCAGGAGCCGGTGGTACATTGACACCTGCCGATAGGCATGGTTCCGTTCAGGTGAGTCGACTTGCATTCCCAGGGCCCTTTCATTTTTTATTATCTTTTCAACTATTCTTTCGAATTGTGTTTTCTTCTTCGTTTATTTTCTATGATATATTTTTCTCCTTTTTTTTTTTTCTTTCTTTGTCAAATTTATATTCTCACATTATGTTCTTTGCATATTTGTCAACTTTTCATTTGTATACCAAAGCATAGATAGACTTTCACGATTCGTCGAAAATATTCCCCCCCCCCCCTATAAAAATGGTATCAAAATGATGAAATAATTTGAATAATTAAGTTTAAAATGTACAATCTCTATTCGTTCGCGTTTTCTTTCCTTATCACCTTCTCAGTATCAAAAGAAATATGTCAACTTGCCGGAAATAAATGATGCGTTCTATTTTTAGACAAAGCAACAATGGATTATGGTCAGTTAGAAGTCTGTGCGATTTGGTTTGTTGCTGCATGTTGTCTATGTTGACTCACTTATTTTCGTTCTATTGAATTTTATAAACACTAATCAGACATTTAGATGTAGACTTTATAATTGAAATGTATTTTCATTGTTTTTTTCTATGTATCAATCTATCTCTTAATTAAAAAAGTGCTACATTTATTACCCTTCCGTATACTTTAGAAATTTGCTTAAATCTTAACTGTGCATCTCCCTTCGTCTGAAACTCTTTTGTGTCCTTACTTTCTCTATTATTATTATTATTATTATTATTATTTTATTGTAATCAACATTTACAGTACAGTTATATATATTTGTTCAAATAAATTGCAAGTTGCTTTTTTGATTATTATTGTTATTATTGATTAATATTTTAATTTTTTATATAGATATATATTATATATATAATATTATGCATTATATATATATATAAAATATAAAATGTATTAAAATCATGTTTCTATTTTATTATATCCGAAAATTGTTTATTTCTTGAAACCAATTTATTAATGAAAATGTTATTTGTTAATAGGTTGTTTCGTCGACGAACGGAGAATTAGCTAACGATGACCCAACTGCTGGTCATTCTAACACGCCAATTACGGCACCACAAGAAGTGGATATGATCGACGAAACCAAGTTAGTATTACATTTAAAATGCATTTGTATTGCAATTCACAAATTCCTATTTTTTCATGTTTATCACTTATCGTTAATATTATTTTAATATATATGTAATTGTGCTTATTGAATTATTAAAATTAATATATATTAATTTGTAGATATATCTAATAAATTTGATCTTAATTTTATATATTTCTATATGATAGCACTATTAGTAATTATCATGAATTGCTATAGATTTTTATTTTATTATTTTTTTTTTTTTTTTTTTTTTTTAAATAAACGTTAAATTTATCATTAGATAAATCTGTGCTTGATAGAACAGAAATAAACAATATTTTTCTTTGCATGATTGAAAGAGTGGAATTTATATTGGGGGATATAATTGTATGTAAGAAAGGTGACAAATCTGTTATAGGGTTTTTTTATTATTATTTCTCCACATTTTTTATATTTTTATCTATCTATCCAATCTAAAAATGTTAACGTTTGCAATATATACATATCTGCTATTTTCAGACTGAAAACTTTACCAACAGAAAACTATTGTCCTCGATGTGGAAAGTTAACCCTGCACAAAAATTCGCAAGCTCCTACTACATTCACCGCAAATCCCAAACACATTCCTGAAATTGATTCGTTATCTCGATTTAACTGGCCGATGCAGGTTTTTCTTTTAAATAATATCAAAGAAAAGTATAATCTTAGTTGAACATTAAAGAAATAATTCATTTAAATATATATATATTTCTGTTAATCAGTTATTAATTTATCGAAATGTTATTGAAATAATAATCTTTTGTATGTGTTTTATTATTATATTTATTTATTTCTAACATGCTTTCTTTCACTGATCTCAGTATTTCGTCATACTTATTTATAAGACTAAACATTATTAATATTCTGTATGAATTTTATTTAGTAAAATAACATTTGTAAGAATTAATAATTTTCTTATCTATACACTGTTGTTCTGTTTGTTGGATTGTATGAAATATCTTCTTATATTATATATATATATATATAATGTACAAACATAAGTAAAGTTCAGAAAATAAAAATTACATTATCAAAAATGATGGTAAATCGTTGTGAAAAAGAGTTGTAATGATAAAGTGATATATATCTTAAAGCCAGTTCAATTGACAACGCTTGAAATATCCTAATATTTTATGATGCATGTCAGTGTCACAATGCTCTAAGCTCAAAGGAAAACGATTCTAAGTCCTATTAGTGTTTGCTTCATTTCCAGATGCTGTTGCTTCTTCAAGCGGAAGAAGAAGAAAAGTGGAAGGCAGAAATAACTGTCCGATACCGTCGGTCTTGGGCGGTCAGTACAACAGTGCGCGAGTAATAGTGCTGACGGATTTGGAAATCGAGTCCCTGGAACGGCGAAAATCTGCAAAAGCGGAGAAGACGGCGGAGGAAATGAAGGTGATGTTGGTGATGGTGGTGATGGTGGTGGTAGGGATGGTGCTCAAGACGGGGATACTTCTACTATTACTGCTGTTGCTGTTGATGCCGTTGCTGTTACTGCTGCCGTTGCTAGTACTACTGCTGTTACTACCGTCGTTGGAGCCACCGGGGATCCTGAAAACGAAGTTATCACTCTCTTACGTGCTGGAAGTAGATCAGCTTCGAGAGACTCGGTGTTGCATACCACCGTAACGTTGACACCTACACCGACTCCGCCACCGTTATCGAATTGAGCCACCACACAGCCATTATTATTGCTGCTATTACTATTATTATTATTATTATTATAATTATTATTATTATTATTATTATTATTATTATTATTACTGTACTCTTTTTTTTTCCTTTTTCCTTCTTTTTTTTATCGTCGACATCTCTAATAATTTTGCCTTCTTTAATTATTCGTACGATTATTATTATTCTCATTATTATTCATTATTATTCTATTATTATTAATATTATTATTAATATTATTATTATTATAAAGCACTCTCATAATACACACACACATTGCCATCGTTATCATCATTATCGCTATCATCGTCATTGTCATTAATCATCATCATTATCATTATCATTATCATTAATAATATCTCCAGTCAACGTACATTTATTATGAACTTTGTTATCAGTGTTGTCAGTGCTGACTGAGAATAGCCACAAGCCGTCGGCTTTCTGACCATTTCAATAGAGATAAGCGGTCATCCACGTGTGTGTAGAAATAAGGAATTGACGTACCGAAGGTGAAAAGAATGCGTTTGTGCCTACGACTCTCTTCTTATATTGTGAGTGGCATTGTTTATATACGCCGTTAATATATGATATGTGAACGTGTCATAATTGATTATTATTGCGTATTTCAAAATCTTATCACAAAGTGAGAAATCTAAGCTGAGCTCTCTCGTTGTAATGGGAAACCTGAAAATTATCGAGCGTAGCGTATCTCTCGTAATGAAAATTTACATTCGTATGAAGTCTGATTATAAATGCGAAAGGCATGAAACTGAAATACGGTAGCAGCAACATTAACATCCTACTTCAATAATTCCTAGATGCACCGCGACGGGAGAAAAATAATGTTTTATATATGATACACACACACTCACAGACGCATACGCGCGCGCGGGCACGCGCGCACACACATACAAATGAGAGATTTTTTTTTTTTTTTTCATTTATTTCTATTGTGATTGAAGAAGGACTGTATAATGCGTTCTACTGAAAGAACGAACATAAGACACGTAACCAAAATATATATGCCAATTCCTTTTGTAATTACTAGACATATTTTCCAGGTCTAGATCTTCTTTTCTGTTGTATAAAAAAAGATTTTCCTAAAATATTGAATAATCAATATGCTTCGATAGGATTTTATATTAAATTATTATTACTTCAATTTTTCGTTATAAATATATATATAGACTATAAACGAAAAGTAAGAACACAGATAACATATATGACATTATTCATTGATAATATGAAAATCACACGCAAAATACAGACATATTAAATTAAATTATATATTATATATATATATATATAATAGGCAATTCCATGAATCCGTCATTATATTCTAATGTTTTATAAATATGTATAAAAATATATATTCTGAGTGAACAATTTAACGTGTCTAATGTGTTTTTAAAACGATATACGATCATTTCGTTTTAATTACAGGCAAAATTTTTAGGTTCTTTTCATCCATATCTAATCAAATGTGGTATATTTATTATCATATAATCATTTTTCATCGTGTTCTACCTAATATTGTTTTTTTCTTTGTTTATAACTATCTTTACTATTGTATGACGAATGCATTCGAGAGATAATTATTCTTGTTTCTTTGTATTAAGTTGAAAGAAATATGTATGTGCCGATATTTAAGACATTAGATTGAGCAAATAAATGAACAAAAAATGGATTATATATGATTTATTTTATATTAATTATTTATACTATAAAATAAATCAGAAAAAAAATTTTTTCAATGTTTTGACCAAGTGTTCTCTTATCGGTACATATATGCTTCTTTTTATAAAAAGAATATTCTTAGAGATGGATGGGAAGATAGATATAGATTTAACATTTATTTCAAATAAGGTATTTGAGAAGAAATAGAAGGAAATTGTGCACTTAGGAATTTGTGACTGATTTGTGGGATGTGCTGCGTTACATAAATTGTAATATAAAAATCACTACTATATCATTTATATCTATGAATATTATTTCTTTAATATATACACTGCCTGTCATCTTTCTAAATAAAAACACGATAAAATTACCCTGTAAGCTTGCAGCAACGTGTGTAAATAAACGCACTTTGAGTGATTTTGTTGTTAATTGCACATAACGATTATTATGTGCAGAAGTATCTCTTCATGTGCAAGCATATGCGCTGTTCGTTATAAAACTTGCGTTTCATTATTATTTAAAAATATTTTCAATCTGTTTTGGTATGCCATGAGAGAAATATAAATAAATGTGTTGAAACATAACTGTATTAGAACAGTATTAAAATTTCAGTTTCATGCCTTCTAACAAATTATTGCATAAGAATCGTATATTGAAAAGAAAAGAAAAAAAATAATAAAAAAGAAGTCACGAATTCCACTTTTCATAACATATCGATGAAGTAAGGAAATTTGTCTCTTTAGATCATAACTTACATTACGACAACATCGGGTAGAACATACACAATACGTTGTACTGTAATTACCACAAACACCATTGATCCATGTTCCATTAGTACAAGATCTAAGAGATCGTTTTTTGAATCTAGACCATTGCATATAAAAAAAATTGAGAATCCTTTTTCTTTTTCGGTACACGTTTATGCGAGATGTGATGCTTATTGAAAAAAAGGAAAAAAGAGAGAGAGAGAGAGAGAGAGAGAGAGAGAGAGAGAGAGAGAGAGAGAGAGAGAGAGAGAACACCAAAAAATGCCTGCGAAAGACAAAACATATTGATCAGAACAATTTTCTAAAAGAAACTTTTGTCATCTGAAGATATTGCTAACTTAAATGTGCAGGTTTCTTACCATATTTAGACTATCAGAAAACATCACACATGCAAAATGTAAAAGCGATTTAATGTGATGTGATACATAATATTGTGAATTTTTATTGTGAAAAACATATTGAAAAAATGGTGTTTGTATAATATCAAAATTACGAAGATGTTACTAAATTATACAAATTATAAAATGCACGCCAATGTCCTTATCACGAGCTCGAGCGATGAAGAGATACTTAATTTGAAAATGTCCGTTTAAAGAGAAAGAAGAAGAAAAAGAAGACGGAGGGAGAAGTATGAAAAGAATTTTGGCAGCACTTGTCAATAATAAAAAAAAAAATGCAAGTAAATGAAATTTAATATATAGAAAATAATAATTTTGTTACAAATTTGCAATTCTCTGTAGTTTTATCAGTAGGTCAGAGATTACTGTTTTTTCAGAATTTATAATATTTTGTTGCTTATTAAAACAAAATAATGTTAAAAATTGCTATGAGAACAATATATGTAGTATCTTTTTATTTAAAATGAATTTTTATCGATATAATTTATATAAAATCTTATTGCGTAAATAACATTAATATTTACTGATGAAATTTTTTGTTTAGTAATATAGATATCGGACGCAAGTTTATATGTATATAATGCGATCGAATTTTTTACGTCGATCTTATTATTAATATTATTATTAATATTATTATTATTATTATTATTATTATTTGTAGTTTAATTTATAAATATGTGATGCTCCCTCGTGAAAGTAGTTTTAACTTATGGTTTAGTTTTTTTTCTTGAATAACTCTTAAGGGAGTAGTAAATTCAATTTAAACAAATTATAAACATTTGTTTTATTTATTTCATTATCATACATATAGCTTTTAATAGTTTTATAAATTACGATTGTTAGCATTTATAAATGCAACTTTATAATACAAGGTTAATAGAATTTTTATTTCTTATTAACTGCTCATAAAAGAAAAAATAATTAATTTCTTAATAAAAAATTGTGTGTGTTCTCGTAATACGTAAGCAGGTTATGGATTCAGAATATTGCGAATTTGTAACAAAAAAAAGTAAAAGTTTATTATTATGATGATTAGTTTGGAATATTGGTTTTTGGTAAATTAGTTCTCCGAAATTGTTATTATTTTGTGTTTATTTCATTTAATTTAATTTTATTTCTGGAACTATAGTAGTCGAACAAAGGTCCTGTTTGCTATAAGGGATAGCAAGGTTGTAAAAATCGAGAAAGTCAGAAAATAAAAAACTTCTATCAAATTAATTAAGTAAATTTGTCGAGTGTTAATATATAGTGAATTCATCGATAGATTAATATATATTTAATTAATTAAGATCGGCGATAGATTTATTCATGTACTTATTATTATTTTATTTCGAAGAAAAAGAAAAAGGAAAACAAAAAATCCGAAAGATCAGAGAGATATTTAAGAATGGATCGATGATTGTAAAATATATTCTCGATCGTTATTGAAATTTTGTCGCCGGATCTGAATGGATAATATCGTTCCTTTTGTAAAATTGCAGTTGCGCTGCAAAAATGACGAAAAAAAATATATAGACATTTTACTACAATAAGATAAGCGAAAATAATAGAAATGAGTGAAGTGTCCAAAAGTGTTTTGTGCATGTGTGCTGCATATGTGGAAAGAGAGAGAAATGGGAATTTCTATTTTTTTTTTTAATTATAATATAATAATAATAATTAGTATTATTATTATTATTAGTTTATTCGCCGCGAAGAGGAAGAGGTCTCTTGTGAGACGAAACTTTTTTAAGAAATATTTCGTGCTGTAGATAGTGTATCTCGCCAGTGTAGCGCGCATGTATATAAATATACTCGCACTAACTAAAAAACTACAAGAAAAGAATAGAAAACAACAAAAAGAAAGAGATGTCATGTTTTTAGAACGGTCAGATATGTCTGTTGTTCTTCGGGGATAAATAATGGAATAAAATAAAAGGGATTAAGTAAATAAGTAAATAAAAAAGAGGAAAATAAAAAAAATAGAAAAAAGAAATAAAATAAAAATACGTGAAGATAAAACGCGAAGAGTCCAAAAGAAATCTCGTATTGAATTTTAAATAAGGCTTAAGTGATAAGAGGAATGATTAATAATAATAATGATCGTGGATAAGACACATGACCTTGCTGCCTGTTATGCAGTCGATCTAGCTCATAAAATTCGTTAGACGATTTTTAATATAATATGGCTGATTGCTGGATAAAAAAAAGTATGGTTGTGAGTAAAAAATGCCTGAGACCGAGATTGTAATTTTGTTACTAACTACTCCTGTACACCTGTCCCATAGAAGGACTGTTATATATTGTTACACAGTGATATTGTATTTCAAGGATTCAGTTTTGTATGCTTTAGTCGTGTCTTTACGAATTGGATAAGATAATTTGGACCAAGAGCGACGTACGTATACATACATACATACATACATAATGAATATACATGAAAACGTTTGTTTCCTAGGATCGATGATATTGTCTTTATGGTCATGCATTTTGCTGGGAACAGACTGTATCGTTATATCGTCATAATATTCATTATTCCAATGTATAATTCGATAATACAAATGCTCTGTCTTGTTTTTCTTTCATTACTTCTGTAAAATAAGTATACAAAACAAATAATTAGTCAATGCTGCATTTTATATAAGTTAAGATATTCAGTTCATACGATGCTTTGATATTTTTAGTTTCATCATATTTTTTTGTGTGTGTGTTTTTTTTTTAATATAATATCTATTTAACATTATTTGTATTTCATTCGTTGAAATGCAAATAGAAATGCAGTCTATGTGTCGATCTCAATTTCTGTATGGATGTCGTAATATTTTCATTTAAAAATACCACGTTTCATTAAGATCCCCAAAAATGATACTTTTTAAACAAACATACTAATGATTTTCGATAGTAATATTTCTTATATTGCTGACTATTAAATTATAGCTATTTATTCCACTTAATATCAAAGAATTACCTGCGTGTTCAGTTATATGCATAGTTTATCGATATAACATTCAATAGGAGATTCTCGGCAAATAATAGCTATTTTTATGGAATTGGCAGTTCATGCTTCTTGGTAATATCTCATATCTGAATATGTATGCATGCGCAATTTGACAGAGAAAACTCAGAAAAACATGCAGATCTTTTTTGACATATTTGTGAAAGTAAATATAACGGGGAGGGAGTCAGTTCAACTAAATGTGTGTTATTTTGTACATATAATAGAAAGGAAACATTGCACCGAGAGAGAGGGAGGATAAAAAATTACATATAAAGAAAAAAAAAAAAGGAAACAAAAATAAAGTAATAAAGAAATGCTACGAAAAGCCCAAAGTAAAGAGAATGTGAAGTAGTTTTGACGTTCTCTCACTCCCTCGCCATAATACGCGTGCCCCCGCGTTCACACATACCATACACATATGTGTATACATATATATGTATATAACAATAAATAATAAACTGTGTATTATTATGTCTGTCAAATAACCACATAGGATGTGGTTGAACACTTCTATTATTGCATAAGCATGACGACACCAAAGAAAAATTGGTGGTTTTTAAGAAAGGCAGTTAAAAGAAAATGGAAATATAATTGATGCAATGTGAATATGTACTTATAATCTTACCAAATGCATGATATCACATTTCTTTTTCAAATGATCGATAAAAAAAAAGACACACGTTAAACTAATCGAAAATGTTCATATTTAGGTAAAATACATTCAGCTTCCGACTAACCATAAATCTTTTTTTGGTCTTTTTTTAAAAGTACATTTTTCACATTTCTATGCATCTATTTTTTTTCTTAGTTATCTTTTATCAGTCTCTTTTGTGGACAAGTATATTCTTTCAGTTTATTGTCTTGCACACTAAGCTTGCGATTAATCTGAGAAAATAAAACAGAATACAGTATGTGGAGAAGATAATTATAATGCTGCACCGTATGTATTTGCCAATTGATTTTGTTAAATGTATGTATATACTAATAAGAATATTGCGAGAAATATCTTTTTTTTTAATCAAAATATTTTCTATTTGATATTTTCTTTTTGATAATCGAAGTATCTCTATATAATGTTTATTTTTCTTTATTCATAATGAAAAGAAGAGTAAAGTATTTGTAATATTAATGTAGATAGACCATATATGGTTACACAAAATTTTTCAATACTTTCATTGATATTCTTTGTCCATCAGTTCACATTAATCTTATTGAACATTTTCATATTAAACGCAAATGACATGGTTATTAAAAATGCAAATATTTATGATTATGATTAATTACATCATTATCGTATAAAAGTATAAAAAATACAAAAAAAAAAATAAGAAGAACACATTTTTTTCTACGCTTTCACTTTCTACTCTTGCGAGCATTCTCTGTTAATTTTATTATTGTTTCTTCGTTAATTAGTTCTGCATGTTTTTCTAACATTTCTATAAAGAAAGGTTCTTTCACTAAGAGTTCTGCTGAAGTTGCTACGAAGTTAGTGATAAGTTTTTTCATAATATTTATCTTCTTAATAAATTTCAGTATTTTTTCTTTATTCCTGTAAAAACGATAATATATTACAATAGCAAGTAAAAGAGAGAGAGAGAGAGAGAGAGTAAATATTATAATTTTTAGATATAATTTTAAAATTTTAGTTAAATTAATAATTGTATTAATGTATAGTTGCTTACTCTGCTATGGTAGGATTTGTTTTCTGCAACTTTTTCTTTCTTAGATTATCTTGTTCCTTTAAAAAGGTATGATAGTCAAATATGGCTTTCTGACACTCAATTTTTAAATTTAATTGTCTTTGAAATGCATCTTCAACACATTGTTGTTTTGACAGGATAGCGTCGTTCAATATAAATGACTTCCTCATAGCCACGATCATTTTCCTATTTCAATAATTAATTATTGTTATATTTTATCTTTATATTTGTAGATAAAAAATAATATAAATTTTTTTTTACAAGATATTCGATCATACTCCTTAGTGTCACTTTTATATTTATTAAACAGAACATCTTGTATAGTATAACCTTGAAGACATAGTTTAATTGCATTATTATTTATAATTGCTTTGGCTGTAGTATCTTGTAGCATTTGAAAACTATTTTTCGTATTTTTTGTAGATGATTTTTTATTTACTGCAACAAATATAAGATTGTTATTATTTGTGCGAATGAGATTGAAAAATATCTTATCTTCTAAAATACAAATTACAACATACTGTAATCTAATTTAGCTTTAACCATTATTTTTCTGGAACATAGGCGACTAGTTGATCCTTTTAAAATTTGAATTTTATCTTTTATAGGCTTGTAGTCATTCCATGAAACTGCTCCGATTGGAAATTCTGCAACATTTTTTCTCAGATGCTTTAATGCTCGTTCTAGATTCTTAAAATCAGACATTGTTTTAATAACAAAGTATTTTTCGGCGTAAATGACAGTGAACCTCACGATTTTCACATTACTAAAAATGCTACAATTTCTTTTCCAAATTATACATATGCACTGAATAAAAAACAGATATAGAGTAGAGTCATGTGTGTTCTCTTAATTTATAGTTTTCCACATAGAGGGTGGCCCTATCGTGCCGCTTAAAGCGCCTTCCCTTCTTACGTGGTACTAATCATTTCCTTAAAGTTTCTACAAGATTTTTAAGCATGTTACAATATTTCAAAGTTTTATATTAATTTCATTTCTTTAATAGAATAAAATGTCTATATAAAAGTGTATCATTTGTAATACATATATTTTCCTTTTTATTAATAGATAATAAATTATATACAATAAATAAAGCTTCATTAAATATACAATATAAATATGATGAACAGATATGTGTTGTGATGTGATATTTAAAAGCAATGAATCGTAATCGAGATTCGATATTTAAGTAATTAAAATAATATTATCGGAAAAGTTTTCTGTCGAATATTGATTTATTTATGGTATAAGTAAGTTAATATATTATCACTGTTATAATTTTGTACTAAAAATATTATTCATTATATTGTTATTTTTTGTAGAAATTTTCTTATGACCATCATACATGGTCAAACGTCGATGATATGTTGAAATTGTATTTTTTTCAAGACGGGACTTCCTCTGATTGAATAGAAATTACATTGTACAGGTAATCATTATCATTTAAATCTCTTTTTTGATGAATTATAAATCAGGAGAGTTATTTCTTCATTAAAACCTAAACTACTAAGCGAAAAAATAAGAGAATCTCTGTGGGTCCACGCTTTCCGTTGTTTGGATTGCTAGAGAAAGGGGGCTTATAATGATAATAAGGTTTAAATATCTGTTTTTGTGAACAAATTTGATGTTTACACACACACACACACACGCGCGCGCACACACACTTTATTTTGCAATTAGTTTATAAATAAATTTAATAATGATAAATGCATTGCTTCCACCGTTGTATCAAGTCTAACAAATTATCGTAACATTCGTGCTGTTTCTACCAGTCAGCAGTTCTTTGAAAAATTAAAACTATTAGCTATGCTTGCATATAATAAAGGAAAAGGTGGAATAGATCACTCAGGTTAATTGGTTTTTCTTATGAAATAAAAATTACGTTAGAAAAAGAACAAAATGATAGATGAAACTTTTCCGAGGAATTTCAATTGTATAAGTTTTTATCGTTTGAAAAATGGCCACAAAATAGAAAGTAAATATAAGAAAATTTAGAGAAATATTAGATAATGAATTATTAGAGCTGCTAATTTATTAATAAATTAATTAATTAATAAAAATTATTAGAGCCGAAGATACAGAAAAACCTTGTTTTCCAAGTAGTCGGTATAATATTGCCGTTTGAAAAAATGCTTTTGAAAGAAAAATTAGACGAAAAATTAGAAAAAAGACGTCATTCGGACCGATGAAAAGCAAGAAAAAATGTTACTAACTGTAGTAACTTTTTGTTTAAATTCCCCTGACAAATGGCAACTTTGCATAGACCGTTTTAAAATTTTTCATTGAAAATAATTTTCCGAAAAAACCATGTTTTTATATATTTTTGTTGTATAATAATTTAACACACAGAGTCTTATTATATTTGAATATTTGAAGTATTTAAGTGTTACGGGGGATTAACTCTCAATAATAATGGATGTTTGATGGTGCGGTTTAAAAGAAGCAAAGGTAGTAGAATACGTCGTGCAAATAATTGTGAGTAAATATAAAAAACTGAGCGGTAGATAATAGCGGATAGAAGTTAATCGGCCGCGTGTGTGGTGAACTATTTAATTTGCGTTAGCGGTGGCGTAGGTGATGGGAACCTAAAGTTACACCGAACTCTCTCGCTCTTTGAGGTTGCAAGCCGAGTTTGGCTAGTGGTTGATGGTATTCTGGATAAATGAAGAGAAAGGGGAATGAAGGGGTTGGAAGGGTGAACGAAGTCAGTAACGTAACAGGATGGTGGTATAGGTGTACTCGTAAGGAAGGAGGGAAGTGGGAGAGTGAAGGGAGTTGTTAGGTGGTCTCTAAGGGATGAGGATTGGTAAATGGGTGATAAGGTATAGAAGGGGAAGGAGGTATAAAAAGAGGAGGAGGTGGTTTCAGACTGTGGTCCTCGTAAGCTCGTATTGTCCGCGCATGTCGTGCAAATCCACACGCTCATTATATACATATGTATAAACAAATACCAATTCGTAAGTAAGGTATACGTTTGTATATATATGTATACCAAGGTGAATAAATATATATATAGAAGTCGGTAAAGCGTCGGTACCACGAGTAAAGTGAAGCAACCGAGCTTTGGCGAGAATTACCGAGGACTTCCGAGTACCGATTCACCGCGAAACTTGATTCGGCTCTAACGCGAGCAGCCGGTCAGTCTCTCGCTGACGCTCGGTGCGACAACTACTGCTTCGATTGGCTATGGACAGGAGGTTTCGTGTGTGCACCTAGATCATTATTATATTATCCAAATTATATTCATCAAAAATAGAGGATACTAACATAAAAAGTTCTGCGTGGACAACTAAATCGACCTTCTCCTCCCTCGAGGAGAGGGCGGAGGGCGGCAAGTCCTCCGCCTTGAAAGGTCTTACCCTCTCTATTTATACAATATCATTATTTTCCGGGAGAGATTCGTTCTTCTAAGGAAAATCATTACCGTCAAAATGAAGTTCGCTCGAGGATCATGGAAAATAAAATGGAGCCACGTGGAGCTGCGGAACCTCGTGTTCTCCACACGATTTCTTCTTATCCTTCTTCTTGCAACTGGTAAGTTTATTCTTGATACATATAAACAAGAGATGTTTAGAAAATTATTAAATTGTAAAAAAAATTATTAAATTATTAATTATTGGAATATATCGTTTGATACAGCTTCCTTATAATAAGATTGCGTGGAATTATTTAACGTTAACATGGTTTTTCTTAATATCTTTTTTTAATGATACCATGCAGTAGCTGCTAATATTGGAGATATTGTATTTTGAGATATATGTCAATATTTCAAGAAAAACCAATTTACCCCCGGCGATTTTATGGATTTGTAATATAGACAAAATGTCCGTAATTCATATGGGTTGAATGGCTCGCTACGTCTGCTATTTTTGCAGAACGTTAAACTACCTTGTTTGGCGAGAGCACACGATTGTGGTGGATGATGAAAGTATTCCTGCGACTGGTGTGCAATCGTTGCTGCTACGATAATCATTCCGAGAACGGTGCTAACATTTTCCTTTGAAAAGCTTTTTTTTTTCATTTGTCTAGCTTATTTTGAAATATAGTAAAATATATAATCATATTTTTCGGGACGCGTATCGTTATGAATTATATAATACTATTATAATTATATACAATGATTTCGATAATGTTAACATTTTATTAATTTCTATTTTTGGTTCGAAATTTACAAAGTTTATTGTTAAATATATTCCTATAATAAACACGACGTAACGATACGTTTTGTGGGATAATAATAATCGCCGCTGCGGCGGAAAAAATTACAGTCGATGTGAGATATCGTTGGAAAAGAGAGAAATAGGAAGAACGTTTATGAAATTTATATAAATGTATTGTTTTAATATGTTTGTAAAATAGAAAAAAGAAAAAAAATACATAAAATGTATACCCGCGTATCGTTTAGTTATAATTTAACGGTAAAATAAATGACTAGCTGTTAATGCTATATACACGTAGGATATCTATCAACATTTTTATGATCTTATCGAGTATATACATATACACGTATACACGTAGATTTGCGCATCGATGGTCGTATAAGCTTTAGAAGTATTAAAGAGTGTTCGAGATAGTAAATTTACGAGAAATATGGGAAGATTTAGGATGATACAGTTAGAATATTTGACAATAAGCCGACATGCATACGTGGTAGAGTGAATCTGTTGTAAGGGGTGTGAAAACGCAAGCCGACGCTAACCTCTAAGCCGATTGTCCAATCATTGTGACGTTATGTATATATCTACGAAAATCACTTTTTGTTTTATCTTCTTTTTTTATTTTTTACTTTTTATAAAGCAGTTTATAAAGTTAATAGAGCAATACGATCGTTATCCATAAAATTGAAGTTAACGTAGCAGAACATTGTGTAATAGTGTAATAATCAAGTATTCAAGCAGGCGTTAAGAGATAATATCAAGCGTTGTTTCTCTAAACAACGAGGAGACGATTTACACGATAATCCAGGATATCTGTGGTAGAGAGAGACCGTCGAAACAAAATTCACTTCCTTCGGCGATATGGCGTAGAGGATACCGTCTCTAAGTTAACCGTACATGAATTCCTTCCCTTTGCCCCGAGGATATTATTTGTGCTTATTATGCGGCCTATGTATTGCTAAATTAGTTCGTACAAGCTATGTGTTGTTGTATAGTTTAGTTTACACATGGGATACGAGAACTCAAGCGTAAAGTTAACTTTAGGATTTAACCTTTCAATACTAAGAAGATTATCGTGGGTAGGTTCAAGAAGAGTTGAAAAAAGGAATTCGAGCGAAAGGAATTTAAAAAGGGTTCCTTTTCTACTTAGGACGGACTTGATTGTAGGTGTAAGTTAATGTGATTACTGAACAGACGGCATGTCAAACGAGGAGAATAAGAGTTTTATTTCGTTTATATTATTCTTATTAGAATTTCATTCAGTTTGTCTTTATTATATTATTGTAATTGCTTTTTAAGATATTTCTTTTTAATAATTATATATCTAGCTGTTGTGTTTAACATGTTAACATATTTTCTTAAATATTTATACTTTATTTTTATATATAACTATATACATACATAATTACAGTTGCATATTTTTCTTAATTTTCTTAACAGAATTAACGTCACAGATCAGAATTACGTCACATATTATGTTACATAAAAAACCATGAAAGAGCATCATTTCGGAGGTTGATCTACTTTCTATCACGGTTACATTTCATACGCGATTAAAAATTTCTGAATTCGTGTTCGCTTTTAACTTTCACGTTCTTTAAAGCCAGGAAGGATTTTTTCTACGAATCCCAGCGGTTTCATTTCATTTTATACTTTGATAGTTCCCCTACTGATGCTAATTATACGTATTACACTTTGATGAGAATTCTTAACGTAGCCATTTTACCGCTAGCTTTCTTTTTCTGGGAGTTTTGTACGATTTACGATCGATTCATCGTTAATGCGATAAAAGAGAGGAGTTACTTCGGCCAAAGAGAGACTGTGTGTGCTGTGTGTATACCTATAAATACATGCTCTCTATATGTGTATATCTTTGAACTGCAGTAGCACTTGGGAAGGGCTTGTGTTAATCGATCAGGCGCTTTGACGTAAGCCGCGCATTAATAATTCCCGCGAGAATTAACGATTACATTCTAGTAGCTACGATCGATCGATCTATTTGACAAAATTATCGCCTTCGATCATCTTAAATTTGTATTCAAGTTAAAGTGATTTTTAGTCTATCTATGCACATAGAATTATATCAATAAATAATATATATACGTATATCTAAGAGGCACATTTAATTATCTCGAATAAATTTAATAGATTTTAAATAACAATTATTACAATATTTTTTCTACAGAAATTATACATGGTATCAAAAAGAGTATATATATATATAGTTAACAACAATTTACATATTTTTTACTATTTGTATTTAATCGAGTAAAATATAGTGTACATGATTCCTTTTATAAGCGGAGGGCCTTAGGAGATTTGAAAGTGAATTTGATTTTTTTAAATGGGATGTTCTACATTTATAATGGTAGTTCGGAAGAGTATTAATTTCCGAGTAAAAAATTATTACGTAATGCTTGTTTTTCAAGCTAATTATTAACAAGATATTTTATATACATTTACTTATGTCTTGTATATATAGCTTATTTACATTTATTATATTATATCATATATCTTACATGTCTGATTTATCTCATTATTTAAAATTAGAAAGAAAGAGAGAGAGAGGGAGAGAGAGAGAGAGAGAGAGAGAGAGATGTTTGCTTGTTAAATTCAATTGAACTCGCAAAAGAGAAATTTTTGAAGTGAGGTGTAAAGTCTGTTGTTAATTAAGCTTAATACGACAGATGATCAACGTTAATCTTCTTTCATGACGATTCAGTTGAGATATAGTGGCAAGCTTGTAGGTGGTGGATTGTAACATCCAGTAGATAGGAATGATTTTAATCAGACGATTGAAACAGAACTTGCTCGGTATGTAGAGTCCTTTCCTTTGTACATGCAACTACAACATTCCGTGCATTTCTGTTCTACATATCTTCATTCCATTACCTACGTAACGTTCTATGCTAACGGAAATTACGCTATTGTACGCTCGTAAAACGTATAACATTGGGTAAAAATGAAATTTATTAACCGTAACATTGCGTACGCAGGTTACAGAATTGTCTTTTTTTTCTATTCCTCTTCTCTTGTATATGTGTACATATGTATGTTCGTATCTTTCTTTGTAAGGCATGTACGTGGTACGTATATGTTTTATGCATTTCCCTTTTAATTACAATATTAGCTGTACGTTTCGTGGCACAAAGCTTTCGAATTGTAAGTAATATGAGGCAGTACCGTTGGTAATGTTAACTTTCGTAGTATAATAATAAATCAGTTTTCATTTTTCTAGGGGAAAACCTACTTTCTTTCCTGAACGGAGAGAAAACTTTGTAAACATTTTTTTCGTTACAAAGGGTTAAAAACGTTGAATTTAGTTAGTTTAGAATTGTTTCCTTCGTAGATTCGAGTGAATATTTCTTTTTTCTTTTTTTTTTTATATTTTTCTACGAAGAAAGGATAAGAGTTTCGGGATAAAGTTTCAAAAAGAGGAAGAAAATAGTTTACATGTATTTAGACGAGTATATATAAAAACACGCGAAAGACGTTGGAATACAATACCAGTGTGTTTCGTTGGGGAACATTTTGTTCTCTTTCTTTCTTTTTTTTCCATAGCGAGTGTTTCTCCAGATTTTTGTAGCTTTTACTTCTTCGACAACAATGAATAATAATAAATGCAGGAAGAAAGTTCTTCCTACGTAGATACGTAAATCATGCCAGGCATTTGGATTTACAGCCGACAGGCTGGCTATTTCGTTCGAGTCGATAGATTGTACGAAATTTCCTATATACCCATACACGTATTTCGAGATGTCTGACTGTAACGGTCTTCCATCACTGTGACTTTCCTAAGTGAGTTAAGTTCCCTAGCTCGTTCGTACTTTTTCATATCGCAATACGTTTTATATAAGATTAATTGATGGATCGATTGAAACTAGCACAGAAAAATGTTTAAAAGTGTTACGTTTCTGGAAAATTGTTGGTAAGACGAGTTTTCAAGGAAATAATCAATCATAAAAATACATATTAGTATATTACGAAAATTCTTAATAATATTCTTATAGATACAGACATTGGTCAGACAGATGTTGATTTAATAACACGACCATGTAACAACAAGTACTCGTGCACGGATAAACTTAAATCGTTCGGGCTCACAATTAAAGAGGAAAGAAAAGAATTTAGGATATTATACGCTCGACATTTGTCTTTAATCCATTAGAAAAACTCTGGAATATAGTATCGAATGTGACGATTATTAGTGATAACTTGGGATTATTCGTGTTAGCTTACATTGATTTCATGAAGAAAAAATAAACGTGTATTGTGTGATTCCTCCATTTTTTTCTTGTCTGTTTTAATATTTCGTCGAATTTTATTTAATAAAAGAAAAGAATTAAATTCAAAAAGGAATAATTCAAAGGAATAATT